GGGGAGGCACGGCGTCACTCGGGTTGGGGGGCGGCAAGGCCTCGTGGTGGGTGGTGACACCAGGACCCCTTCGTGCCATGCACCCTGGTGAGGCCACCCCAGGGTGTCAGCAGCCTGGGCTTGGCGTGGGAGCGGGGTGGTGGGTGAATGCTGCTCCCTTCCCTGGCCCTGAGCAGGGACCAGGCTGAGAGGATTGTGGGGCTTGAGACCATGCAGGCAGACTCTGAGCGCTCTCTTTCCTCCTGTTCCCTAGATGAACCGTTCTCCAACCCCCTGGCCCCTGATGGCCATGATGTGGACGACTCGCACTCCTTCCACCAGTGAGTTCAACACTGGGGCAGTGGGAGATAACTGGACCAGGACTATGGGGCCCAAGGCCACTTCCTCCATCTGGGAGTCCTGGGAGTGACTGGTGCAATGCACCCTTTGGGTTCCCTCCATGGGGACCCTGTGTCTGACTCCGTTGCACAGGACATGCTGGCAAACCCTCTGCCTCCTTGGAAGCCGTCAGGCTGCTGAAGCTCACTGGAGGATGATGGTTTCTGTTTCCTCTCTACCTTGCAGGTCCAAGCTGACCAATGAAGACTTCAGAAAGCTTCTCATGACCCCGCGGGCTGCGCCAACATCTGCGCCACCATCCAAATCTCGCCACCATGAGTGAGTAGGACTCTTTCACAGGACTGTGGGACAAAACATGTCTTCTTTCCCTCTGGGGCTCTGTTCCTGCCTGACTCTCTCCCCCTGCGCTCTGCAGCAGGGTATCTAAAGGGCCTTTTGCTAGTGAGTGGGCAGACAGGGCCTGAGGAGCAGACCTCTGCCTTGTTTTGTGCTTGGGTCCATGCACGCTGTACATGTGTGCATTAAGTGGAGAAACAGGTGGGTCAGGACTGCAGTAAATAACAGAGCGAGTCTTGCATGGCTGATAAGATGCTTTGTGCAGGAGGCAGATTTATTTTTTGTTCTGTGAAAATCGGTACTTTCCCCTCCTCTCCCTGCTGACAGAGTGGAATTAGAGGGAAATGGGACTGTAGTCTTCCCATCTTTGAGCATCTTGATGCCCTTCTGTGTCTGAGGGACTGTTCCGTCTAGCTGCCTGTGTTTGTATGGCTCTGCAGACTGTATGTGTGGTTTCTCGCCCTTTTCCAGGATGCCCCGGGAGTACAACGAAGATGAAGACCCAGCTGCTCGCAGGAGGAAGAAGAAAAGGTAAATGGGAAAGTGATGCATCACGACTTGTCTTCGTACATCATGTCGCTCCCATGGAAGCAGCTTCTGAGCTCTCGGGCTCCCAAAGAGGACCCTGAGTGGCCTGGATTATTTTGGGGCTTTGGAGCCAAGCAGAGTGAGATGAGCTCAGACTGAGTGACTGTCACGGCTTGTGGGAACAGATGTGGGAGGGTGGCAGCAGGATAAGGGTGAAGCTTCACCTCCAGAAGAAGTGGGAGAGGCTCTGCAGGTGTCTGGCAGAGCAGGGCAGTGGTGGGACATCTGCACTGGTGACTGTGTCTTTTGGGGCACATCTGCGCAGCACACTGCACTTGACCTCTTCCCTTTGGAAGGGAAGGCTGAGCTCCTCTTTGGTCTGCCTCAGTACGGCAGTTTCAACTTGTCTGGTGTCTTCCAGGCACGTTGTGTCCCATGGTGCTTTAGTACAATTTTGGGGAAGAGGTTGGGAGCAGAACGCACATGTGTGGGGCCTTGGGGGCTGTTACCTGACTGGTGCATCAAAAGTGTGAAAATGTCACTCTAACACTGAGCTGTTTTTCCAACCCCAGCTATTACGCAAAGCTGCGCCAGCAGGAGATAGAGCGCGAGAGGGAGTTGGCCGAGAAGTACAGGGATCGAGCTAAGGAGAGGAGAGATGGTGTGAACAAGGACTACGAGGAAACAGAGCTGATCAGCACAACTGCCAACTACAGGGCTGTGGGGCCAACCGCAGAGGCGTACGTGAGCCTGCGGCATGGTCTTGTCTTGCCAGTCTGCTCCAGAGGGGCTGTCTCGTAACTGGCTCCATTTTTGTTGCACAGGGATAAATCTGCTGCAGAGAAGAGGAGACAGTTGATCCAGGAGTCCAAGTTCTTGGGTGGTGACATGGAGCACACTCACTTGGTGAAGGGTCTGGACTTTGCGCTGTTGCAGAAGGTGAGCACAGATATCGCCATGCTGCTCTTCTACTCTGTCTGCTCCCACAGGCAGAGAGGGTGGGCAGAGGGTAGTAGTTGCTACTTATGGGTGCTTCAGTCTTGTCAGTGTGGATTTCTCTTTCTGGGAAAGATTTATGAAGGGTTGGGGAGCTGGTGGAAGTGGGCTTACTGGTTCTGATGGGCAGCAGTGGCATGGATTGGTCTGTAATGCTTGCATTTACTCTGTGGCCAGGTACGGGCTGAGATTGCCAGCAAGGAGAAGGAAGAGGAGGAAATGATGGAGAAGCCCCAGAAAGAAACTAAGTGAGTGGTTGAGGATTTTGCGCTCCTGAGTGCAGCTGCTTCCCAGAGAGGAGGATGCAGAGGAAGCATACGCTTAGCATAATACTTGTGTTTCTTTTCTATTTCTGTTCAGGAAAGATGAAGATCCTGAGAACAAAATTGAATTTAAGACTCGGCTGGGTAAGACTGTGTGGATGTGGTTATTCTCCACCTTGTGTTGTGCCGTGAATGTGGGAGAAATGCTGGAGGGTGAATGGAGGAATGAAAACCTTTGGTCATTGGAGGGGGAGAGTCTGAGGTGTAGGCATCCTGAATTTGACAGCTGGAGGAAACGTGTCTCTTAGGAGGTGATTCTGATGTTTCTGATAAACTAAACATGCTTCACTATGGGCTTGTCCGTTGCTCTTGTAAGAGCAACTCTCCCACACATTTCCTTCCCCTCCAGGTCGCAACATCTACCGCATTCTGTTCAAGAACAAGGCCTACGAGCGGAATGAGCTGTTTCTGCCGGGGAGGATGGCCTACGTGGTAGATCTGGACGATGAGTATGCCGACACAGATATCCCAACCACGCTGATCCGGAGCAAGGCTGACTGCCCCACCATGGAGGTACCCAGCTAGCATTTGGGTTGCTTGACCGCATCAGTCTGAATTGGCCAGAGCAGATCTTGCCAGGAGGGGCTCCCTGTCAAGGCAGTCAGACACCTCCTTGGGGATTTCTCTTTCAGGCACAGACCACGCTGACCACCAATGACATTGTCATCAGCAAACTGACGCAGATCCTTTCCTATCTCAGGCAAGGGACCCGAAACAAGAAGCTCAAGAAGAAAGACAAAGGTAGGAGCTGAAGGGAAGCAAGTAGCAGGACTTAATGCTTGAAGAATTTTGCAAGAGAATGAGATGTGTTTTGGTTTGCTGCGTTCCCCCGTGCCATGAGGCGGTGGACTTAGAGGACAGCGATTTCCTATAGTTCCCCCAGCACTGTGTCCCAAAGGCAGGCTGTTCTGTGGCAGCACCACAGGGAACTGGCTGCTGAGAAATTATAGCTGTGAGGGTACCTCGTGCTGCTCTGCTCTTCCTGGTTAAGGCCCAGTTCCTTCGGGAAATGTCCCCTGTTGGGGAGGGACAAAATGGTTTCCTGAGGGGGCTAGATACGATGTGGTAACCGAAGAGGAAGTCAGGACATCCTCCAGGCCTGCCACTCTTGGGGCTTGGAAACCAGATTGGGGACAGGAAAACAGTGCAGGTGGCAGAGTGGATGATGTGCCTCTCACTGCTGTTGTGTCCTTGCAGGGAAGCTCGATGAGAAGAAGCCCCCTGAAGCTGATATGAAGTAAGTACCTCCCTTCCCACAGGCTGTGGGGTCACAGCTCTCTGCCTTAAACAGTGTCTTTTTGGCCCACCATGTTTGGAGAGGACTGGGTTTAGTGCTTCTGGGGTGAGCTGCCTCTTTGGACCTGCGGTTTGTAGGACAAGGCTGGAGGCAAGCTCTGATTTTTATTTCAGGCTTGAGGCAGGCAAGGGCTCTCTGTTGCCCTGACCACAAGAAGCAGGTCCAGGCAGCAGAAGAGAACAGAAATACAGTGATACCTGTGACAGATGTAGAAGCTAGTTCTAGTGGGCATCCTTAGGTCTCGGTGTTGGTGCTGTGTGCTCCTTTATTAGGTTCCAATTCAAAGGGAGGTGGTTGTGGCCTCTTCTCTTGCAGCACCCATAACTGCAGGCTTTTTTTCCACTTCTAGCATCTTTGAAGACATTGGGGATTATGTGCCCTCCACTGCAAAGATTCCACGGGAGAAGGAGCGGGAGAGGTACCGTGAGAGAGAGCGTGACCGGGATCGGGAGCGTGACCGGGACCGAGAACGTGACAGGGAGCGGGAGAGGGACCGGGACCGGGACCGGGAGCGGGAGGAGGAAAAGAAGAGGCACAGCTACTTTGAGAAGCCCAAGGCTGATGATGAGGTGAGCCTTTGCTCGTGAAGCCTGGACTGTCCCACCTGATCTCTGCCCTTTGGGGATTACAGCCGTGGGGTTGGTGGAGTCACCCCTGTGGCTTTGGTTGTCTCTGGTCATGCTCCCACACGTGCCAGTGTTCAGCTCTTGCTGAGCTCTGTCTCTCCAGCCAGGGGCTGGTGGGTGGCTGGGTGCTTGTCCTCTCCTTCAGCCAGAAAGGCAGGACTAGCACAAGCCAGTAGCTTTTATGGTTCAGCTCTGTGTGCTTGCCACAAAGAGTCTTAAAGTGGAGCTGCAAGTCATGCAGCACTGTCACTTGCCTGCTTTCAGCCCTCCCGGGTGACATGGTGTCTCTCCCTCTTCTTTGCAGCCCACAGACATTGACAAAGGTGAGTCGAGTGGTGTGGACATTTGAACGAGGCTGGACGTTTTTAGCGAGGCCGTACAGGGTTGCAGATTTCAGAACTGCATGACTTGCTGGCCTGCATGAGCTCCCTGTTCTCCCAGAGACTGCTATGATGGAGGGAATTGCCTGCCATGAGGGTTTTGGGGTGAAGAGTCTTGTGTCTACAGGCTGCTGCATGCCAGCCTGGGTTGAGTGTGTGTGCAGATCCTTCCCTGGCAGCAGAGCAGCTCAAACAACCTTACGCTGGCTGTAAGCTGAGGAGGATTTGGGGTCTCCTAGGATCAGCCCGCCCCTGTCTGTGCTCAAACTGGTTTGTTGCTCCTCCATGTGCTCCTGGCTCCTCCTCTTCTACCTCATATGCACCCCATCCTTCTCCCTGTTACCTTGTCCCAATGTATTGGTCATGCAGAAGGGGGCTCTGCCCAGCCTTGTGTGTTGCGGTGAGCTGTTTCCCCCCGGCCAAAATTCAGCCTGCTGCTCTCTCTACCCCAGGACCCAGCTCAGCCAAGGAGCTCATCAAGTCCATCAACGAGAAGTTTGCTGGAGCCGCTGGCTGGGAAGGAGCAGAGTCATATCCTTTACTGTCTGTGCCAGCCTGGCCGACTGCGGGGCCAGGCTTCCCTTGCAGGCAGGCCTCGTCCAAGCATGGCTGCGTGGCTGTCCTTCCTCACTTGGGAGGGCTCTTCCTCCCGTAGCATAGAAGTGCCGCCCAAACCTTGCTGCTTGTACACCAAATATAAGCTCTGCAGCCTCCAATTCAGTTGTGTTAGGGCAGGAGATCTTAGCCTTCAACAAGGCTCAGTGCCAGGTCCTGCACTTCGGCCACAATAACCCCATGCAACGCTACAGGCTGGGGGAGGAGTGGCTGGAGAGCTGCCTGGCAGAAAAGGACCTGGGGGTGTTGGTTGACAGCCAGCTGAACATGAGCCAGCAGTGTGCTCAGGTGGCCAAGAAGGCCAATGGCATCCTGGCTTGTATCAGGAATAGTGTGACCAGCAGGACCAGGGAGGTGATAGTGCCCCTGTACTCGGCACTGGTGAGGCCGCACCTTGAGTACTGTGTTCAGTTTTGGGCCCCTCACTACAGGAAGGACATCAAGGTACTAGAGTGTTTCCAAAGAAGGGCAGCGAAGTTGGTTAAGGGTCTAGAGCACAAGTCTTGTGAGGAGCGGCTGAGGGAGCTGGGGTTGTTTAGTCTGGAGAAGAGGAGGTTGAGGGGAGACCTCATTGCTCTCTACAACTGCCTGAAAGGAGGCTGTAGTGAGGTGGGGGTCAGTCTCTTCTCCCTAGTAACAAGCGATAGGATGAGAAGAAACAGCCTGAAGCTGCGCCAGGTGCTTGAGGACATGGGTTAGTGGTGGACTTGGCAGTGATAGGTTAATGGTTGGCCTCGATGATCTTAAGGGTCTTTTCCAACCTTAACGATTTTATGATTCTATGAGATGGCTCTTTGGCTGGCTGTGCTCAGCCGTTAGCTGACAGGCTACGTGGTGGTGCTTTCCTTGACCATTGTCACATTGAAGAAGCCAGAAGACAAGAAGCAGCTGGGGGACTTCTTCGGCATGTCGAACAGCTACGCCGAGTGCTACCCTGCTACGTAAGGAAGCAGCAAGAAGCTGTGGGTTGGGAGCAGGATGTGCCGAGGGGCTGCTGTTCTCTGGCAGCAAGAACTTGAACATCAGCCCCACTCCTTGTTGGGAGGGGCGGGCCAGGCTTTGGGGTTGCAACCTACTGTTAAAATGCTGTCCAAGTCCTTGGTTCTGGCAGACCTGGCCTTTTCGTAGCTGGTCTCTGCTATACATGGCTACCTGGAGTCTGCTGCCCCTCAGTGCCAGGGAGAGGCTGAGGTGGCTGGGAGGCTGCCGGCTTCCCTGGTAATTCATCTGCTTGTTGAGGTCTGGCTGCAACGCAGTCCCTCAGCAGAAAAGGAACAGCTTTCAGCCTGGAGAGTCATTTTAGGAGCATTTGCAATCTTGGATGCAGTTGTGGTACAGCTCACCTGCAGGGCTTGCAGTTGGAGGAACTCCTCTCTGGTCCAGAAACTGAGTGCATTTGGTCTGAGGCCACACGAGATGGCTCCCACCAGCCTGGCTCCAAGGTCCAACGTCCCATGGACCCACTCCAAACACTTTCCTTGCTTTTCTTTTATTTACAGAATGGATGATATGGCTGTGGACAGCGATGAAGAGGTGGACTATAGCAAAATGGATCAGGTATGCCATCACGAGCTTTTAGGACCTGTCAGCAAACTAGGCATCAGTGCAGGCTGAGAGGATCCTACTGGAGAGAAGCAGGCTTGTGCAGAGGGGTTGAATGCCCTGGAGCTGGGTGTTGAATGTGTTTTGGGGTTTGCTGATCTGCTCTGCGCCTGCATCTGGGTGGGATCTGTTGTCCCAGGGAGCAAACATGCGAGACTCTGGCACTTGACCAAGAGATGCTGGGCAGGTGTGCTAGTTTGTCTCAACTCCCGCTTCCACAGAATCTCCTGTCTGGAGCCAAGGGATCTCGGAGCCAAGGCCAGACTAGGTGCATAAGCCCGTTGAACTGGGGCCAATGGGAGAATGAGATCTTGCCTGGGTGCGCAGGGCTGTGTGAGAAGTGAAATCAACTAAGGAGCTGCTCTGAGTCGTCCTTTCGCTGCAGGGTAACAAGAAAGGACCCCTGGGCCGCTGGGACTTCGACACCCAGGAGGAGTACAGCGAGTACATGAACAACAAAGAGGCTCTGCCCAAGTGAGTGCAGCCCTTGTGAAGGGCTGAACAAGGATTCTGTGTGGGGGTGGCCGTGCTGGCCAAACCTGGGTCCTGGGGGAGCTTAAAGCAAGAAGAGGGCTCCCTGGTGAGGACCCAAGGAAGAGCTGTGGATCCTGGGCCTGGTGGCTTGTCTTTGCTCTTAGTATCATTCTTGAGGACTCCTGCCCAGCTGCTGCTTTCAGGGGCCCAAGCCAGCTCTGGAGTACGGGCTTGTGGCTGGGGCAGATGTGTCCGTTCCCCCAGCAGGCTGTGGGTCCCCTGCGAGCGCTGAGCTCTGTCTTGCTCCTTCCCCAGGGCGGCCTTCCAGTATGGGATCAAGATGTCTGAGGGACGTAAAACCCGTCGCTTCAAGGAGACAAATGACAAGGCAGAGCTGGACCGGCAATGGAAGAAGATCAGTGCGGTGAGTGCCCGGTGCTGAGGTCCTCTGTTTAGGCCGTGAGCTGCCAGCATAGCCCTGGAGAGCTCCCATCTAGTCCTGCCCTCGCTGTCCAAGTCACGGCTCTTTGGTCAGGCCCATGCCCTGGCAGCCAGGCACTGCCAGTGTGCGTGTGCAGCAGGGCTGGCTCTCTAGAAGCTGGATTTGCCCCTTGTGAGACCATCAGCCAAATATTTGGGGCTTCAGGACTGCAGAGGCATCCGGAGCTGCATTTGGAGCTGTTGCCCTGGGAGCAGTCCTGGTTGGGGGCTTTTTGCTCCAGGCTCTGCAGCAGATTAATGTGTCCAAAACCAGCAGCTCAGAGCCGTCCAAAGGGGCTTGGAGGGGACAAGGCATGTTTAGCGGCTCCCTGTTTTCTAACTGGCAGAGCTGGGGGTTGTGCTGGCAGCGTGCGCTGGCCATGAGCATCCCAATGGTACAGGATGGGCTACAGGAGGGCGAGAACAAATGGTCTTTGGTGGCCAAAATGGAGCAAAGGGGAAACAGGCCAAGCTTCTCCAGACTTCGGGCAGCTTGTGGACAACTTTAGCTCACCTTAGCTTGCTCTGGTCTGGCTACAGCTCTCCCCAGGTGTATCTTGCACCCTACAACCCCTCTGCTTTGGTTGTGGGCAGCCAGCTACCCTGAGGGTAACAGGTCTTTGTGCTTTCTCTGCAGATCATCGAGAAGAGGAAGAAGTTGGAGGCTGATGGGTTAGTAAAGTTGTCTCTGCTCTGGGCTCAGCTGCAGGGCAGTGCTGGGTCCTGGCTGTCTCCTGCCACCTCACCCAGGGGCTGCAGGGGGCAGAGAACCTCCCTGCTGCCTCTCGGCAGTGGGGCTGGAAGGAGAGTGGAGAACATTTGGTCACCTCAGGGTGCTCCGGCCCTGCTCGGCTCAGCAGAGCCTGTGGGACACATCTCCCTGGGGCCATGGGTGGGTGCTGAGCAGACCCCAGGGCCGCGTCGGGGCTCTTCCTTGACCAGACAGTTCTGCCCCAGTGGGCCCCCCCACTGTTCTGTGGGGTGAAGCTGTGGACCTCGGTGCTGAGCTCCGGATGGGAGGAGGACGGAGCTGTCTGCCCTGCCTCCTCACCACCATCCCGCTCCTCTGCCTCTTCCAGGGTTGAGGTGAAACGTCCCAAGTATTGATGCCTCCAGTACCCTCTTCGGCTCCCGGAACCCCGGCCTGCTGGATGCTGCCCTCCCGGAGCTCGCCGGTGCGCTCTCTCCCCCACGCCGTCCATGCTGTGCTCGGGGCCAGGCAGCGCCTGCCCCCCGCGGCCCTGCGCTGCGGGGCCGTGCTGGGGCTCTCCCCTCCAGAGTTCGCTGTATAGCCTGTGATGTGTAAATGGTGTAGCTGTAATAAAACTGCCTTAAATTTGCATGACCGTCTGTCTGTCCGAGCAGAGGGAAGGTTCCTGGGCTGAGCTCGCAGCAGCAGGGGTGCAGGGGCTCCTCCCACCCACCAGGCCTGCGTGGGGCTCACGGGGTGAGTCCTAGATAAGGATGTTTATTGTGGGAGCCTTTAGGGGTGGGGGCAGGCAGCCCCTGTCAGGCCCTGGATAAAAAGCACCAGATAAAATGAGCAAGTAAGGCTAGTTGGGGGAAATAATCCCAGCTGAGCAACCTTCCCCTCTGGGCAAGAACAAGGAAGCTGCTGGTGGCCCCTGGCTGGCCTGGGCCCCGGGGCCGGACCTCGGGGTGCTGTGCCAGTGCTTGAAAGGGCCCGAAGTGAGGCCTGGCCACTGGTGGGGCTGGCCGCCCCCTCGCCTGGGCCGCGGGGAAGGAGGCCGCGGTGTCCCCCGTGGGGCAAATCAGGGAGCCGGCGGGGGCTCCCGCGGCCGCACGGGTAAAAAGCAGGGACAAATGAGGCAGCCGGGAAGAATCCCGGCAAAATGAAGTGAGAGGCCGAACCCCTCGCGGGGCGAGACACGAGGAGCTTGTGATCCACGGAAGCAGCCGCTGGCTCGCCGCCGCC